TYGGTTCTGGTTCCGGAACCGGCGGTTCCAAGGCGGTTCCGGTTCCGTAAACGGGTACCCGGTTCCGCTGTTCACCCCTAAAATACTATGAACCAAACATGATTTATAAAGAAATGAATTTTAAATCCACTTCAAATCTTATAAACCGTACACAAAAAGATTTCAAATCCATTCCAATTCGATCCCTACAAATCCAAATCCCTCTATGAAATTTAAACCTTAAAAAATAATCTTGCAAACCAAATGCATCCTGAGAATTTTTGACCGATTTCCGACGGAATTTTATAATTAATTAATTTTTTTTAAAACATGAATTTATGATAGACATTTATAATTAATTTAACAACACATTTTAAAACATATTGATGGATTCCGTCGAAAATTCATAGGAAATTTTCAACAGATTTCTAGTTGAATTTTAAAATTAATTAGAAAATTACTTTTTAAAATATTTTATGGATTCCGTCAAAAATTAGTAAGAAATCCATCACAAGTTTTCGAAATCTGTAGGTGAAAGTCCAATTTCTAACATTGGTCTTATTTTGATCCTGAACAATAAAAGAGAGATTTCTTATTTTACTAAGTGGGTGTTTACTTGTGGCTTAATGAGCTTAATGGTGTAATTGGCTTATTCGTATAACTCTTTTAGGTTCTTTACTTGTAGCTTATTCACACATGAATTGACTTAATCGCACAGATATAAATATTGTTTTGTCCCCATTCAGCCAGAAAAAAAGACATTCCTGCCCCCCTATACTTTAGAATGCCCTTCTGAATGAGGGACACACCTCCTTCATTTCTATCTCCAAACTTTATCTCCATAATCACCATCTCCAAACTTCATCTCCTACAACTCCGTTGCACTTGCAACTTCATTGTCACCATTGGTTTTCATATTTCAATATCGTTTTTGAAGTTCCAGATTCATTTAAAGTTTGACCTCATCTATACAATTTATTTTTCGTTTTTGAGGTTTCAGAAGTTCACTTTTGTTTTGAACTTCTAGATCTGGAACTTTTCAAACAACGCATAATTCATATTTAGGGGTTAATTGGTCGTTTATATCATTCAGACAGTTAATTCAGATAAAAAAGTAAACAACAATATAAATTTATCCAGACAGACAAATTTATCTATATAGACACTTTTATCTATGCAAAACTTAATAGAAAATTTGGTAAATATCCCTTGTTTTTGCCTTTTAATCATCTTTTATTGAGATGGAAAATAAATAGAGAAGTATAAAGAATACAACATATACACAATCATCAACATCCATCTGCTAATTATGCTTTTGAAGAAACCTCTTTGTTGGATCTATTGTACTTCATATGGCTCTTAACAAGTTGGCCGGCAGCAATCGCCGACATCAATGACAATTCTCCGGCCAAAACCGATCCCGCCACCACCTTCGCCAACTGTCGTGCATTCGATCCAGCCGATTCTCTGTTTGCACCCTTGACGCCGAGTAAGTTCAAGCACGCTGCTTGTGAAGCCAACTGCGTCCCACCGCCCACCGTCCCCACCTCAATCGACGGCATGGTCACCGAAACATGAAGATCTTTGCCGCCGTTCACTGCCTCCATCATGGTGATACAATGTGAGCTTTCTACATTCTGGGCTGGATCTTGTCCGGTGGCTAAAAACACCGCCGAAACTATGTTACTGGCGTGGGCGTTGAACCCACCTAACGCTCCAGCCATGGCGGATCCAGTGAGGTTCTTTAGCATATTCAGTTCAACCAACGAAGCTACGTTGGTTTTTAACACCTTCTGCACCACCTCCTCCTTTATGATCGCTTCACACACCACTGATTTGCCTCGACCTTCGATCCAGTTCACGGCTGCCGGTTTTTTGTCAGAACAATAGTTGCCGGAGATGCCGATGACGTCCATGTCCGGGAAGTCGGCCTGCAAGTAATCCAAAACGTTTTGAACACCTTTCGAAACCATGTTCATCCCCATTGCATCTCCGGTGCTGCAAGTGAACCTCATGTATAGATTCTTTCCGGCTATTGCACATTGAATGCTTTGAAGCCTCCCAAATCTACTAGATCTGTGGAGCATGCAATTAAACCAAATCAACCCTTTGTCCAAAAAAAAATATAATAACGTCTGCTACAACAAAATCGGATTTATATGAGGCGATGTTCTAATAAACTACTTTGTAGCCCTCCAAGAATTCTAACCTGTTGAAAACAGAAGCCAGAGTCTGGAAATTAAGTGGTTCCTCCAAGAAGAACTTCAAATCTGCAGCCCTCTTAGCGGTGCCAAACCGCACAACTGGAGCCCTGGTCATCCCATCTTTCAGGAGGACACTGGTGGCACCACCAGAGGCACTGATGGCTTTGCAGCCCCTATTGGTGCTAGCCACAAGACACCCTTCTGTAGTTGCCATCGGCACCCAGAACTCCATCTCGTCAACTAACAACGGTCCGGCGATACCCACCGGAATTTGAACATAACCCACTGGCATCTCACAACATTGTCCCAATATCGATTCATAATCAAAACCCTCTAGTGGCAAACCTTCAATAGACTTACCTGTTACCCTCTCCAACGCTTGTCTCCTAATGAACGCTGCACGTTTGCAGTCCCCAAGCTTTGATTCCAGTGAGTAAGAGGGTGTTTTTCCGGCAACCACTGCTTGTATCACCTTCTCATCGTCTTCCGTCGTCGTGGAGCAGTCAATGGCAATAGTGGAAACAAGGGTCTCCTTCATGTTTGTTTCTTCGAGTTCCTCGTCGTCTTCTTCTTCTTCTTCGAGAAAGGGCATTAACTGGAGGAAGTTCATCCCGAAGAAACCAAGAAAGTAGATGAAGGAGGCGACAAAGCAGACGACGGCGGCCATCTCCGATAAGGTGAGGTGGAGAGGGGTCGCGGTGTGGATCTTCTGGCGCAAGCTGGTGAAGAGGTAACAGACGATGGAGAAGAAGAAAGTGAAGAAGATGGTGTTAACAAAAGGGAATGCATGGGCATTAGCCTTTGAGGAATCCACCACCTTTTTGTTGTTTGCTTTGAAGAACTGGTCACCGCCGGCCATGGAGGCTGCAGATTTCATTTCTAGTTGTGGTGGTGGTGGTGGATTGGTTACAATGGCAGTAGATGTATTTATAGATGTTGTAGTGCCGGCTATATATAACTCGATTGCTTGATTATCAGAATGATTCTACTTCCTGGCTGGTACATGGAGCGAGTTGACTAAGGGACTTTGTTCTTGATTTTGTCGCTGAATTATGTAGCCAATTGAGTATCTACAATGAGTTAAGTAAGCTTAATTGTTTAATATAAATTTATTATTAAAATATTTAATTTAAATATAATATGAGACGATAATTTCACCAAAAAGATACCAAAGGCCTTTGGTAAAGCAACAACGAGCCGACTAATTATACGACGACCATCTGCTTTGTAGATAGTCTGGAGTCACTGTATTTGAACCTACGTGGCCACAAATAAATTTTTATTCCTCCTTGAATTTAAACATGAGTTCTCTAGGTACTTTTGACCTTTGAAGTCAAGCTCAAAACAATCAGACACCACCCTTGTGGTTGATTATGGTTAGTCTTACAAACACAAATGCATTGGTGTTAGTCTTACAAACACCAATGCATGATGTACAAAGTAAAAAACCATGTACATAAAATGTGTAACATGGGAAATATTAAAGAAAGCATTGAGCAAATATTTTAGCAGTTGTTTCTGCTTTTCCCTGGATACTCGGGTTCAAATATTCTCATTTCTTAACCAGAAAGATATGTGGTCATGAAAGGCGAAGGAAGGCTGGAATGCAAACAGACGTCTTCTATTGTTCCTGTTCTTCTGTAGCTGGATCCTCCGAAACCACAAGAATCCTTATGCATCAAAATTTCAAAATCATCTTCATTTCACATAACATGGTTCACATATATGGATGTGTTCTTGAAAGAATCCACACTAATTAATGTCTTGATTGTGAGAATCAAGTTAGCATACATAAATATATAAGAGTATTGTTTACTTGAATCTCATTTATAAAACTTCAAATATGAGACTCACAAACATTGAAATGAAGTATCGTTTGAGATATTTAAGGATATTTTTTAAATAAGCTAAAAGGATAATATAGTAATTTTATTTTTGACAACTAATCAAAATATTTGATTAAAAAATTTAGAAGAAAATATTTAATTAAAATTAGTTACCTAATATACATTGTATTTTAAAGACGTTTGTGAATCAAAGTGTATCATAATGATAACGTTCACAATGTTTCACGTGTATCACAATGTAGTTTCTTTGTTTTATGAAATTTATCATATATAGTGTACATTCTCGTTATTTTCATTACTTTACAGAGATATCACATTGTGCTTCTTGTATGTATATCTGGGTATCATAGTGAATATCGTTTGTAGGTATCACAATGTGTATCTTGTGTTCATATATGGTTCATTGAAATAAGGTTCGTCGAATAAGATTCGCTGGAGAGAGGAAAAATGAGAGATGAGAAAGGATATTTATAAAATCTCTAAAATGCCTTAATTAATACTTTAAGTTAAAATTACCAAAATTATTAATTTTCTAATTTAACCTTTTATTTGGGGTTGAGTTTGAATCTTACGGTTACCACAAACAAAACAGTTCTCATTTGATTAGGCACATATATAAATATAAATATAAATATAAATATAAATATATATATATATATATATATATAGGCATAATCCAATGAGAACTAATTATATTTTATTGTTTTACGAAGTGTAGTACAATATATCAGGTAATGTTTTCTTTACCAAGTGTATCACACTGTGTTTTTTCGTTATTTTATGAAACATATCATAGGGTGCATCATGTGTTGATATGGTGTACGTTGGAAAGAGGAGGTGTTTGACGGAGAGAGTTGAGAGGAAAGAGGAGAGAAAAAAAATATAGAATGACTAAAATGCCCTTAATTAATATTTTAATTTAAAATTACCAAAATTATTAATTTTCTAATTTAACCATTAATTTGTGGTTGAGATTGGATCTCACGGTTACCACAAACTAATCAGTTATTCCTCAAATGGGATCATATATATATATATATATATATAGAGAGAGAGAGAGAGAGAGAGGGAGAGAGAGGAGGGATCAATTGTAAACCACCCTCATTTGTGAAAACCTTACAAACTAATATCATTCATCTATTTTCTTGATCAGTGGTCAAGATTAAATGAGTTTATATTTGGAAATAAAAAAAGAAAAGAAAATAAAAGTTTAATTTTAAATTGAAAAACGGACAAATCTGTAAAATCCCCAATATTGAAAGGTAATAAATACTGTTAATTTTGGGAACGTAATAATGGAAACGTTGCATATAGAAGAAGGTAAATCATTTATTCTTAATATAAATGTTTTACCATTAATATGTTTTATTATTTTTTACCATTATATTTTATAAAAATATGAATATTAAAAACAATAGAATATGAAATCTGTATTCCGTTTCATTGAAAAAATATATATACTTTGATTAATGAAACTAATTTCATGTTCAATAATGACCAGCAAACAATTTCACAATATTTCGGAACGTTTTATGCATGAAAAACGTTCAATAAATAAAAAAATATTCAGTTTTCAAAAAGTCCCATTAAATTTTTAAAATTGTTTCATTTTTTGTATGTTTCATCGTTCAAAACTACATGACAATCGTTCTTTCTTTAATGACAGTCACGTGAGTTCATTCTATAAACAATAAAACAGTTTCGTTCATTGATTTAATGATACAAAATATTTGTTTTAGTATTCAAAGTGTTTCATTATTTTTAGTTGATTATAATATGTTTTATATTTTATAATTTATTAGGATATACCTAACTCATTGTAGGTGACAAAGAGTCATGTGAGTTAGGTAGATGAAATGGTGAAACATATTTATTATTTTTAGTTGATTATAGTATGTTTTATGCTTAATGATACATATATGTTATATATATATATATATATATGTATGTATATATATGTATAATAGAATACTTGTGTAAAATTATAATGACTATCATATATATGATGATTTATAATAGAAATTGGTCAACAAATGATGATTTATAATATAAATTAGTATCGATAATGCAAGGAAAACAATAGTAGAACAACAAGTTTTTGAGCACAAGTAAGCGCTCAACCCTTGAGAAGTACCATTGAGACCACAGGGATGCAAGATGTCGTCGGTCGAGAAGGAACATCACAAATATGTTCAGGTTTGACCCATGGAAAATTCAACGGTAAAAACAACGCCTTATAATACCATTTTTCAAATATTTTGTAATCCCTGTTTATTGTTAACAATTTTGGCATTCAAATGTTTAGATGTCGGGCCTTCTACTCAGGTCAATATCGTATCATCGATCATTGATGACATTCTTGACCAGGATCAACACAATTATGTTTACGATGGTATCCCTTCAGAACATCGTGTCTTGGAGGAACAAAATGTATGCGACTATTGTGGAGCAAAAAGGTTTAGTTTCGAATTACGTAGCTTTTGTTGCATGACTAGAAAGACAAAGTTAGTGTACTCACCCATTCCTAAAGACTTGTACCAACTCTTCACATCCCAATCTAAATTGGGCAAAATCTTTAGGCACAACATACGCACATATAATACTAACTTTTCCTTCACATCAATGGGTGTGACATTAGATAGTTCACCAAACAACATGATATCCGGAGTAAATAATTTTTGTGCAAACGGAATAATATATCATAAGATTGATCAATTAGTTCCAAGGGATGGAAAACCTAGGCACTTACAATTATGTGATGATCAATCTGACTTTTCACATAGACTCCAATGCCAAATCTTGATAGAAACATTGTTGAAATATGGACACGTGTGCTTGCTACGAACCCATATGCGATAACATTTTGAAGCCTAGGCTAAGCTACGACCTCTCGACAATTATAGAGTCACTTTGAACGCATCAATTGAACTAGAACATAGCGTATACAATCGACCGACCACATCCAAGGTTTGATTAAAATAAATTGTATTTTATGTGTAATACACATATCATATTATGCACCATACTCAATTGTACTGTTTTACAGGTTGATAGGATTTTGGTTGAAGATAATGACAACATCACCACATACAAGAGAAGTATTATTGTGTACGGGAGATCTGACCATAGTCAAACAATTCAAGATTACTTCACTTGTTACGATCCATTGGCTAATCCACTGTTCTTTCCCAACGGTGAGGTTGGGTGGCATTCCAAAATACCAAGACATGGAGTTTCTATTACTGAGATTGTTAACAACGAAGAAAACATCGAAGAAGATTTAGAAGGTATGTATGCTAGATATCTTAAAGTTTTAACATTATGATAAAGGTAACAAATATTACATTAAGTGAACATATCATTACTTTATAATTTTCCAATATCAAAACTACGCAGTGGCTAACGAGCGAAGGGGTAAGAATAATGTAAGTATGCGGGAATACTACTACTTCAAGTTCCAAATCCGCTCGCATCAAAATGTGCTTCTATTGGGTAGGAGATTGTTCCAACAATTTGTAGTAGATATTTATATCAAGATTAAGACTGCACGATTGGATTTTATTGTAAAAAAACCAAAGGAGGATAAGATCAGATTTATAACAAGGTATTGTGGATTGCGTCAACGCTGATGGACAAAGAATTGTATTACCTACAAGTTTTATTGGAGGGCCACATGACATGCGACGATGGTTTTTGGATGCCATGACTTTGGTTCAATCCAGTGACGTGCAATCCAAAAGTGGCCAAAAATCCTTGCTGAGTTATTGCTTGGTCAGACCGCACAAGATCGACCAAATCTTGTTGCCAGAATGTTCGTTGCCAAATTAGAGGATCTCAAGGAAGAACTTTTCAAGAAGCACATTATAGGAATCATCGTGGCATATGTTTATGTGGTGGAGTTTCCAAAACGTTGTTTGCCACATGCACATTTTCTCTTAATAATGGCACATGAACATAATATGACCAATCCAGACCATTACGACATAATCGTTTGTGCAAAAACTCCAAATCTTACAAAGCATCATGAACT